GTTTGTCTGAGATCTATGGCCTAGGCGGTGCGGCTGTCCTGTTATGGGAAAGCGAACAAAGGTGACACCATATGGTCTACGACAGATGCCGGCGGAGGCCCTGTTGGGGTTGCCGGACCTCAACGATGGCAAACATGCTAGCAAATAACGAGGTGGAGCACCAGTGGAGGTCACAGGCGCTCTTTGGGTCGACTTCAGCATCGCGAATTGAAGTGGAGTGGCTTCGGGAGGCTTGGGGCTCACCAGAGCATCCCCTCAGTGAGGAGGAGCGATTCCTCGATGAGTGGCACATTGTTGGCTTAGGACTTATGTGGTTTTTAAACCGGCACCTATACTATTAGGTATTGGTATTCCCAAATTTGGAACTGACACCTATAGCCGGTTCCCAACCGGCACCAATAAGGGTTTCTACAGTAGTGGTCGATGGTCCACATGCTCACATGTCATCAGCCATCAGTGGCCACTAGCTACTTCTCCTTTCTGACGGTGGCCAACCACATCTTTGCGCATGATACTTGGACTAGGCCGCCATGGCAGACCAAGCGAAAGGGAGGTTTTGCAAGGTGGAGGCGCCGGGTGCGCTGACATTGAGGTTCGCTACCGGTGTGGACGTGCCGTCATGGAAGCAGGAACTGTGGTTCTGTTCGATTGACTTGCTCTACTACATGTACTCCATAACAGACTATTTCCACACAAGAAGGTCCGAGAAGATTGGTTTGCAGCTCTTAAGTTAGTGGTTTGACCTGGATAGGAGAGAGATGAAGACAAAAGAAGAAGATGACAGTAATTTAGTCCAAAAAAAATTAATGAAGGTGTAAGCAGTGGTATATTCTATATTAAAAATGGCTATGAAATTATAATATCATGGTTTCAAATAGATTAGCAGTAATGTTTATTTTCAAAACGGACAAATTTACAATAGCATGGATCCAATAAACCTTTGATTATACCACAAATTCCTAATTGTATCATAACCAGATTAAGAACTTGTTTCACATCCATACACACAAAAATGGATATACATTCATACACCAACTTGCACATTATACCATTCCCATCTTCATCGATTGGCACATCACACCATCACCATCTTCATCAATCTACCAAGAACACCAAAAACTTACAAGGCCAAATGGAGATGGGGAAGATCGACGTTAGCCTCCTGTCTGTTGCCGGTGCATGCCCAGAGAGGAGGGAGCTCATGAAGGGCTTGGGAGCTGAGGGTGTGGTGGAGTTTTGCTACCATCATTGCTAAGCTACTATTGTCATCATCGCCTAGATTCAATGTATTTGGTGACCTTGGATATGTCTCATGCATCCAATTTCCCCGCTAATGTCGCCAGTGTTGCATGCGCCTCCTAGATCCCTACCCTCTTCTCCTCTCCATCTGTCTGTCTGTCAGTCTATATATATAGGAGAAGGGGGTAGGGAGCACAGTTTGTTGTCATGGAGCTTGCCGTCAACTAGAATCCAGGGGTACAACCTTTGTTGAGAAGGGGTCACTTCCATCACCTCAAGTGAGAGAGGCTAGCACCTCACCCGCCCCTACAGACATTCGGATCCATCGGCGAGGGGACCGTAGCTGCTGGATCTGTACAACTAAAAAAGTTTTTTTTTGCAGACGACCCCTAAAGGATCACAGTTGGGCCATGGGAAGGCTCGTTTGCGATAAGTTTGGTCCGGAGAGAGGGAGGCGCTTGTTGTACTTGTAAATGAATTATCATTGGTGATGACGCTCTCTCTCGTGGCCCGATATTTTGATGAAGGGATAAATCTTGCTTTTATCGAGTACAACGTTTGCAATGTGGCTACCAAACAGAACAAGTCCAAGATGTCATGCAATTGCTACACTAGACACGATGTCGTACCAACTGTGACACGCGGTTGATGATCCCTATAATACAAATGAGAGAACACTGCTAAAATAAGAGAAGATGCAATCTAAATATTATAAATAGGTAATTAAGCACAAATAAAAAGTTGTGATTGAAGTAGTAAATCTAATTGACTCGCAAATCAACACACCAACTATTAGGTGTTCTGAATCTATAGTTGCTAACTAATAAAGCGAAGACTAGAGACAAAGTGAATGGCACTTGTCAAAATTCAAGTATACAAAACACAATTATTTTTTAGGGTGTTGTTAACAGTGAAATTTAGTAAGCCCCGAAGTCATCATCGGCCTACAGTCAATATCGGTTTCAGAGTCCTGGAATCGGCCGATGGGAATTATCAAGTCGCCAATAGTCAGATTCTTGCTATATTCGGTTAAGGAAATTAATCTATTAAAGGAAGCTTATACAGAAGTGATCGAGTTCAAGGAGGATGCGGCATGGAAGTTTATCTATTAATTAGGAAAAGTATGTTAGTTTTCTTTTATATTTAGGAAAGCGTGTTTAGTGTCCAATAAGGACTTTATGTATTCCTTTTATCTTTAGGGAAGTTTCTTAATTTCTTGTCCAAGAAGGACTAGTATCTACCCATATGTATAAATATGCACATTCGGGGTCATTGTAAACTATTTCAATGATCAATACAACTACTCTCGGCGCATCGCCACCCTCTTTACTGACGTTTTTACTTATCATCCAGCGGAACTTGGCACCTGACGCGGGGCTGCATCGGCTTTCAATCTCCGATGAAGGAGTAAGTCATATTTTCCGCCGGTCCTGGCAATGAAAGACTGTAGGGTGGCTCTATGAGCAGGTTTGGGGTGGACATGTGGAAGGGGCTTCGGCCAGGTTGACATGATCCGCAATGGTGGAACCCGTGAAAGCAGCGACCGTCTAGCCTTGCTTAGGCCCAGCAAGTGCCTGACTGCTAGGACGGATCAATATCCCACTGGGCAGTAACTAGTAGTAAGTGGGACTCTCGAACGGCTATGTTGTCCTCAGCCTAGCTAGCTGTTGACATCAGGTGGGTAAAGCTGGGCAGTCTCTGCAGAGATGAGTCTTAAATCATTCGAATGTGCTGTGCTTCCGGTTAAGAAGCTATGTCATTGGGTGATTCCTATTTATCATGGTATGAGTAGATTTTAAATTAAAATATGGAATATGATGAAGATGAGGATGAATGGTGATTAATATTGCTACTATTTTAAAATGATGATTTACAACTGTTTGCAAATGAAATGTTTTACAAAGTAGGGAAAAACTATTTATAATAGGCTTGTTATGAAACCTCCTTGATGAACTACATTCTTCTTTGTACGCCTTGCACATATTCTATTTGTATTATTATGGATGTAGCTTGCTGGGTACCTCGATACTCACCTCTTGCATAAAATGAGGTTCAGACGATCAGTTCTTCCCTGAGGAGTCGCAGGAAGGGGAAGAATTCTATGGTGCTGACGAGTTCTTGTTCTAGGTCGATCTGCTCTCAGGCGTTGCCTGTGGTGTTTTTATCCTATTTTATGTATGGGTTTTCTGTTTGTAGGGAGTGTGTTTGGCCTATCGGCCCCTAAAACATGTCTTAGTTATCTTTTGTGTAATATTTTTTTTGTAAAAACTTGGGTATATGTATCGAAAGCTGTTCTGTTTATCAATCTGTGCGCGATCGAAATCCTGGACAGTCGCGGGTGGTTTCGGGATACCATACTCAAACCGGGTATCCCCACAGATCCCTTGGATCGCTCTGGTTTGGTTGAATACTTGCCTACCTATTTATCATATATCTTAGTTAATCTAAGTCGATTATTCAATATACTTATATCGGTTAGATCTTTTCTAGGGTTTTGCCGGTATCGGCTAAATTGTTTTATCGATCTAAATTAGCTAAGATATCTATCACCCTGAAAAACAGTCAAATGTTTGATTGTCTAGATATTATGTTTTATTTCATACTTAGTGTTGAGTCAATTGGGTTTGACCTACTAAGTCGTACTTGGAACCATAATTTCTAGCTTGTTTTTCTATTGTCAATAACGGTTTCATCGGGGTTTCAGCCGATGAGTTATCTAGACGTTACATCGATCGGCTCACAAGGATTATATATAAGTTGGATTTAGCCGACGACAACAAAGATTTCATTAATTATCTAATCGCTTGGATTTAATGACATCAGACCTCCAGCCGATGTATGTTTTAACCTTCGGATCAACGCTTATTCCATCATATTATTATTAGTTTCTACTGGTTTATATTGTTGTCTTATTAAATTATCATCAACCGATTGTCTTTATATCATTATTTACTCGAGTATCGGAATACACATTAGATATCGGCTAGTATCACTCTATTGGCTCTTTAGCCGATCGGCTATTTGGTGATCAACATATTTATCTATCTTTTCAGTTTCAGGATCAAACTGACTGGCACGCCCGCATCTTATCAATTTTTGAACCTGTACTGGAGCTAAGCATATCTCCTAGACTATTGTGTTCATCGACTTAGTTCGCGCCAACACAGATCTGACACCATTAACCGAGCACGAATTTTTCGTCAACATGTATCCCTCTCTCCTTTCCCATGAGCTTGTGGCATTTCAGATCTGGCCGCCACGAGCTCGGAAGTGGCCAGATCCGGCGCGGGAGAATGGGGGAGGTGGCGCTTGACGCTAAGAGGACTTCACCATGGCAAGCGGCGACGGCAGCAGGGTTGTCGTTCTCTTCCTTCAAGTTCTGTTTTCTTGGATGTTAACATGTGCATGTTCGATTCTGTAATTTTTCTTTATGTTCTTGGAAACCTTTCAATCTCGAGGTCTGTTTGTTGTTGGTGCTGGTATGTAGATATTGATGAATGTGTTTCTGGATGGGATGCTGTGTAGATGGCTAGGAGCTGATCGATGCATCGGCTCAAATCGAACCGATGCATCGAGCCAGTTTTTTTTGGTTTGTAGGATCTCATATGTGTTGGTTCCTAAATCGGCACCTATGACTTCTGATCATAAGAGCCGTCTTGGTGGTACCGGTCGGGAAACCGGTACCAATATATGGGTTTCCTAACTGGCACATATAGGGATTCCGTACCGGTGTATTTTTCCTATGCTATAAACACATATAATCACGATACAAATTTCGGAGATTAATTAACCTTGGGTCAAACAATACAGACTCAAAAAACCGATGAATGATAGACACCCAGCCGTGCCGGACACCACACTTGGATAAACCAAAGAATTGTGCAACCAAAATGTCGGATCGATGCGATATCAACTGTCAACAAAACGCCAGCGCACGACGGTACAGAGAGTGGATTAATAGTTGATGGCGCGGCACGTCTTCCTGATCTGGCGGACGCTGCCCGCCGGCATGGCCAGCTTGCTGAGCTTGACGAGCGCCTGCGCGAAGTCGATGTTCCAGAGCGTGCCGTTCTCGGCGTACTCGTTGACGTGCTGGAGCGTGGCGTTGCTGCCGACGAGCGCCCAGTCGGAGTTGAACAGCACCAGGTTGTTCTTGTTGTTCTTGTAGTAGCTGTTGTCCAGGTAGTCGCCGCCGACGGCCGGCACGACGTAGCTCGCCAGGTCCCCCAGCGTCGCCGCGTCGATGTCGCGGATGTTGTTCGCCAGCGTCGGGTTCGGGGCGGATTTGCAGGTCTTGCTCAGGACGTTGTCGCGGTAGTCGGCGTTGATCTCGGAGTCCGGCGCGGTGAGGCGGTCGTCGAAGTTGGAGCAGTGCGCCTTGCCGATGGAGTGCGCGCCGGAGAGGATGACCAGCTCCTCCGGGGTGAACCCCTTCGCCGCGAAGTTGGCGATGAGCTTGCCAATGTCGGCCTTGGAGTCAGGGAGCGTATTTTGGGCGTCCACGGAGGACGAGACGATGCCGTCGAGGCGGCCGGCCGGGACGTCGAAGTTGACGCCGCCGTTGCTCATGTACCTCGACGCGTCGCGGCCAGCGAACACGACGATGTCGGCGCAGGAGACGACGCCGGGGCATGCGGTCTCGAGCTTGGCCTTGACCGCGTCGATCACGTCGAGCCCGGCGATGCCGAGGTTCGCACCGGCGAACTTCTCCGGTGAAGGATTTGTGGTCGAATTATCAAGAAGGATCGATCCGTCACACCCCTAATGTAAAAAACAACAGTACAGATATTAACATTCAGTCACAGATAAATATAAACATAGCACACTAAAAATTAATCAGACGACTGATAAATACTAGCAAATTAACCATCAAAATAATTGTGATTAGAGCACGCATGGTGTAATTTCCGGGAGCATATCGTGTTTACATTGACGAAGCAGTCATGGAACAACAGGCGCACGAGGGCGGCGCCCTTGGATTTGTCAGCATCGAGGAAGGCCTTCACAGTATCGTACACGACGGACTCGACGCTGACGTTGCCGCACTTGCCATTGTAGAAACCCACCGTCAACGCGCACGGCGCCGCCGACGGCACCACGATGGCGGCGGCTAGCCGGACGGCCACCGCCAACATGCACACTGCCATGAAAACCTTCATTTTGACGTATACTCGATCGATCGATCTGCACAAGAGACTTGGATCGAGTATGTGGCGTCTCTTATGCTCTCTAGTGGTAGTGTGAGATTGATAGAAACCTAATCAACCTGACCTGCTTATATATACTGCTGATCTAACTACACAGCTGCTACACACCAATTGAATTATCCAAGTGCTATATGTTTAGTGAGAAAAGGTAAGTCGGTAGTTTATGCTCAGACACGAACAATAATAATGCTCATCTATCTGTCATTCCTAGCTCGAGGGGAAAAAAGAAAGAGCATCTAGCACGAATAATAAGAATCTTAATTAGGCACTCTGGGGCAGCTAGCTAGCTAATTTGGCGGAACGTGGCAAACTGGCAATCATGTCTATGTATAATACGCGGTGTGCACGAACTTAACTCTCCCATCCCCGTGGACTCTCTCCTTTTAAGTTATTATTATAAGACAATAGATAGTTTGCTGCTCTGTCATAGCTATGCAGAGACATTCAGACCGACATGGCTACGCATTTTGGCTAGGTTTTATCTCCTCCAGATCTTATCCAAGTTGTCTTCGTATTGATAGATAAACAATTCTCTTCATTATAGATGAAGGTTGCTGGTGCGTTTAATGTTCTGACTTGACAACTAGGTTATGTGAAATGATCATGTCTTGATTTAACAGGTCTCATTGTTTCGCTTATATTTATACTTACAAGCCAAAATTTAATTTTAAAGTTTATTTTGTGGTTTTTCATTGTGGTTTACTTTACAACTAGTCTTTTGTATCGTCGCTAATAACACATATATACAAGTTTTACCTATAAAATATTTTTTGTTTGCTAATAACCGGTACGAATAAGTATAAGGATAAGCAAAACGATAGGACCGTATAGTTTTTGTGATGAACAATTGGCGCGTGAGTTGATAATATTAACTTTGATGAGATAATGTTTTGCTGGGTGAAGTGGTGCTGGTTCCTGGGTTGGGACCGGTTGGACTGGGGGCTTGAGGGCTGGATATGGATCGATCGGGTGCCCGATCCGGATGGTCTAGCTGATTTGAGTTGATCCGGATGGTCTAGATGGTGATCCGGATGTTTGAGTCGGTTTTGAGTTGATTTTGTGGATTCTTGAAATTACTTTATGTTTGAGTTGATCTGATTCATGCTTTGTGCTCTTGGATCATTCTTTGGTTCATTTTGCAGATATCGGAGGTCGCGCTAGAAAAGCTTCAGTTGGAAGTGATATTGCTACTAAGAAAGGTGGCCTCTGATTTCTACAGCCCAAGTCATGGATGGAACCCATACATCAAGCGTCTGGAATAGGATGTCTAGAGTGTGGAGGATCTTTTGTGTTTTTTCTTGGATAGATTTCTGTCTCAGTGAAATGTTGCACTCTTTTCCTAATTCTTTTGGCTGGATTGGCAGACCTGTTATTTTGTTTTATAATTAAGGATGATCATGTTGTCTGTAGAAACTAAAGTCTTCTCATTTCGTCAATTAAATGGGAAAAGAGTCCCTCTCTTTGTCAAAAAATAAAAATCAAAGCTAGCTAGTCTTCCCGTTCATCATTTTGTGAACTGGAGATTAACCTATAGTCCTGGACCCAATTTATTCAACTAAATTAAAGCTTTCCCTTCGCCCTTCTATCCGACTTTGCGCACGATTCTTGTATGTGACTTAAAATTAAAATTATTGGACAACTCTTACCATTGATTTGGAATACTAAATTGGAATATATGATTTTATATATGTTTTTATTAGATTAGAATTTTAAAATTTTGTCTGTATATCTTATAGTGATTTTTATCAAATTTATGTTTTTCATCTATGTTAGAATAATTCTTTGTTTACTCCCTCCGGTTCTATAATTGTAGCGCCCGTTCCGTCGTAGCGCCTAGCGGGGAAATTTAAATTCTAAAAACCCTAATTGCGAAATGTCACGTCCCAAAACGACTCTAAAATATATCCTTTAAATTATGCCTAGAATAATTAAAATCCGTGTATGAAAGCCTCCAAAAATTAAAATGTGCAAAGTAAAAGTCAAATAAGGCTTGGAGGATTTTTGTATATTTCCCAAAAGCCTAAAATGTGTAAATAAATTTTAGTGAAATTTTCAGAGCACAAATAATAATTAAGAAGAAATAAACAAAGTTAAAAAGGTTTTATAAAAAGAAAAACCCTAAAGGTCCCCCTTCCCTCCCTTGGGCCGGCCCGGCCCATCTCTCCTCTCCCCCCTCTCTCTCTCCTCTCCCCGCGGCCTACTCGGCCTCTCCCCGCGCGCGCGCCGCTGACGGGCGGGCCCGCCCGCCACCCTCGCTGACAGGTGGGGCCCACCCGTCATCCCCGACCTCCCGCCGCTCCCGCAGCCTCGCCCGCGCCCTAGCGCCGCCGCCGCCGCGAATCCCGCCGCCTCCCGTCGTCCCCGCGTGCAATAAAGTGGGGGGAAATACTCCCCATGATCCCCTCTCCCTTTCCCCCCATTTTCCCCCTCTCTCTCGCGTTCAAACGGGCGGATTTGCCCCCGCAAATCTCGCCGGCGCCATTGATGGCGGCCGACCTCCCACGCCGGTTTCCTTCCCCTCCGGCCGCTCTCTCCCCCTTCCAACCCTATTTAAACCCTCCCCGCACCTCCTCCATCCGTTTCCGCCTCTCGCCACCCTTCCTCCTCGCCGGATTCGAGCTCACGACGTCGCTCTCTCCCTCCGCCGTCGTCGCAGAGCTCCGGTCTGCCGCCGTCGTCGCCCCGGACCGCCTCCCACCTCGGTGCCACCTCCTTCGGCTTCGCCGCATCCTTGCCGACCTCGTCCACCTCTCCGTTTCGGTCGCCGACCGCTGGAGCGCCGCCGACCCCGTCGACCCGAGCCGCACCACCGCCTCCCTCCGCTTCGACCGCCTCCTCCGTCGCCGCCGTCGCCCCGGGGTGAGCCATGGACCGTCGCCTCCTTTCCCCCTTTCCTCCCCTCTCTCGGCCGCCGCTCCGCCGCGCCGGTGGTCGCCGGCGGCGACCATCGGGGCGCGGGGGCGCCGACTCCCGCCGACTGCGCCGGCTTGGCCGCCCTCGGGCGCGTCGAGTGGCTGCCGCGTGGGGCCCGGCCGTCAGCCGCCCGCGCCCTCGGGTGCGGCTGACGCGTGGGGCCCACGGCGCCGGCCGATGCGAGCCCGGGTGCGCCCGGTCCACCGTTGTAGCGCCCGTTCCGTCGTGGCGCCTAGCAGGAAAATTATCTCTTAAAACCCTAATTACGAAATTTGTTTTCTTGCTTGTTGTCTAGTGTCCGTGCCATCCCGGATCTCAATCCCCGATCTATCGTCGAGTCCAGTTCCGAATACAAATCCTTCCAAATCAAATTCTTCCGCAAAAGTCTATTTTGCCTCCCCCGGGTTCGATGGGTCGAATCTCTCTCGGCCCATCTCCTTCTCCCTCCCGTGCGCTCTGTCTCTCTCTCTCCCCCTCCCTCCCGGCGCTCGCTCTTTTCTTGTCACGCCCGGAAATTCACTAATAATTTCCGAACTAATTTGTGCATAAAATCCTCGTCCAGGAATCAGCCGAGGTACACAAACTGACAATTTAATATACAAATCCATCATAATAATAACGTTACACACTTACAAAAGAAAAGAAAACAGCAGCGGAATTAACGGTCTAGCGATGGCTTCAGCTCCACTCCCACATGCAGCTCAACTGGGGTATAAGCCAAACGTCTTCTCCTTCTGGATCCTTTATCTTCAACTGAGGTTTGATGATTATTGCAAGAATGAGCATATGACATACTCAACAAGCCACACAGCAAATATGCAAGTGCACAAGGATACCAAAGGATGGCATAATATAGGCTCATTTGCAAAAGCAGCATTTAGCAAAACATTTAAGAGTAGTAAAACAGTAGAGTAATTAATTAAAAATTTTAATCAACACTGAACAGCACACCCATGCTGCACAGGCCCAACCATCCTGAACAACCATACCCGGCTGTACAGATCTAACTCCAAACCAGGAGCTAAGCAAATTATTACCAGGTATAACATCCATAATTATTGTGAGAGGTGTGAGACTAATCACGAAAAACATTGCTCAACCCACCCATAACCGCGGGCACGGCTATTCGAATAGTTTTACTCTGGCCAGAGGTGTACCACTGTACCCACAAGACACAACCCCACATCATGTCACCATGTGCCTCAATACCACCACGGTACCTCGGAAAAGAGTTGTGACAATACCCCTTGCACAACATAATCCATTACAGCGCACCTTTCCTGGATCATAATCACCCCCTCAAAAACCAGAGGCATGGACTCCCCAGCGACCCCCGTGGACTTCTCGCCACTTCTCAGTCTGGCGCACTATAATGAATCACGCTATACAAAAGATAAAGCCGTTGCCCACGCTGGCTTGTGGTTGGCACGATAAATGTTTCACAACAGTAGCTCGCGAACCGGTCCTTAATTGTCATGAGCACGACTCTCAAAACCATGTGCTCACAACCCACCATTATCAAGTTTTAGTTGGCAAGTAATTAATTAACCAATCACGATTGACCATCGTGAACTATCATTAAGCCATCCTTAAATAATAGTGAGTCATAAGTTATCCCAATAGTGTGCTAATGTTTCTAAGCATGGCTAAGCAATCATAACTAATATCTAGCTGAACCAATATATAAAGCCCAACTAGTCAAGTTATAATAACCCAAGGTATCAAGGAATAAAGTAATCAATGCAAATTGGCCATAACAAAGGAATAAGTTCACACCACCCGGTGACATTCGAAAATAAATGCACAGTTGAAATAAATAGAGAATTTAAATATAGGATCAACATGCTCAAAGGATTGTGTTTAGGATCTGTGTGACTTGCCTTGCAATAATCGGTCTTCAAGTAATCTTCTTGATCACTTCCGACGCACTCACGAACCTTCGCAACGACGGAAACGACAAGCTAACACGCAAAACGAAGAAAAAGACTAATAAAAACCAAATAAACAGTACATATAAAGTAAACAAACATGTAGATCATGATTTTAGATGAATTTAGCAACTTGAACCACTCAAAACCGAGTTACGATGATTTAGTTATGAATTTCCGAAGATTTAATCTATTAGAAAAACAGGAAAAAGAAAAACG